TGCTCCCACACTCTGGTTTGTGATATCTGGACTCTGCAGTTTTGCTTTGCCAGCTGGTTTCCTGAAGTTTCTGTTACAGGATGTGTGACAGGGTGTAGATAGCAGGCTGTTCCCTGCTCTGAGTTACTCCATGATATACAGAACAGTAGGCCTCACAGGCTGTGCCTAGCCCTGAGCTACTCCATTTTATAAAGCAGAAGTTTGCCATGAGTTACTGAGGTGGAATGGCTCTATAGCTTGTTTGTACAGGAAAACAACTACCATCTGAATAGCACATCCATAAGGCACAAAGTGATAATCATGCTAATAAAAACACCACCATGAACTTATCAAATTATTCAGAATCACCCCCATATCAGAAAAACGAGGCCTATGAATTTATCAAACATACAAGACCACTGAATGGAGCAACCTCCTCATTTGAGACCCATAAAAGGAGGAGTAACCTAAGACTGAATATGGTGGTACCATGATCCTGTCACCTGGTCACTTGTGACAACCATACATGAGCACTTTCAGCAGCCACAATTCACCAAATACTCTTGAGTCACCTGACAGTCATAAGCCGGGCAATCACAAATTCTTTTATTCTAGTCTTAACTGCTGATATCTAACACTCAAGTCATATATCACACCTTACACACACACACACACACACACACACACACACACACACACACACACTTCTGTATATAAATTAAATAGAAAGGCTAAGGAAGAATTAATACATAATAGGGGACTGAGAAGGCTAAACTGAGAGCAAAGGCAGATACAATGCAGTCACTCTAGGTGGTAAGATTAAGAATCATAGCTCAGTTGGTAGAGTGCTTGCCTCACATGCCCAAGATCCTGGGCTCAATCCTCAGCACCAAAGGAAAAACAAATCAGCCTCACCCTAAGCAATTTAGCAAGACCCTATCTCAAAATGAAAAATAGAGCTGGGCGCAGTGGTGCGTGCCTATAATCCCAGTGGCTTGGGAGTCTGAGGCAGGAGGATCACCAGTTCAAAGCCAGCCTCAGTAATTTAGCAAAGCCCTAGCAACTTAGAGAGACCCTATCTCCAAATAAAATATAAAAAGGGGGTTGGGGTGTGGCTCAGTTGTTAAGTGCCCTGGGTGCAATCTCCAGTACTGAAGAGGAGGAGAAGAAAGGAGAAGAATAAGAATCAGCCTGAGCTGAAGAACTTGTTGAGGGCACAGAGCTGTCAAAGCACAGAAACTTAGTTTTTTTGTTTCTGGGGATTGAACCCAGCCCTTTTTATTCTTTATTTTGAAACAGGGTCTTGCTAAGTTGCTTAGGGCCCCACTAAGTTGCTGAGGCTGGCTTTGAATTTCTGATCCTTCTTCCTCAGCCTTCCAAGTCACTGGGATTACAGTTATTCATCACCACATCTGATGCACAGGAACTTATTTTAGACCAGGTAGCTTCAGAGCGTCATCTTGGAGAGTCACCTTTAGATGTCAGCTTGGAGTGGGCTGTGTGCAGTTGTCATGGGCAGGAGAAATCGTGCTCTACTAAAGCCTGAGGACAGAGTCTTGGAGGTTTTTCCCTATAGTGATTTTCCTGGACAAGACTCGTGACGAGTGTCTAGGTGATGGGTCCGGGTGTCACCATGTCCAGGCGTCTTTTTTGTGTCTCAGATGACAGAGTTGCTTCTTTGGGTGGTCTGATGTGTTTGATAAGCTTATGGGCCTGATATTTCTGATATGAGTTTAATATGCTTATATATTCATGTGCTTCTGATTAATTTGATAAATTCATAGATTATATATGTTGGTACCAGGGATTGAATCAGGAGCACTAAACCACTGAACTACATTCCCAGCCCTTTTTTGTATTTTATTTAGAGACAGGGTCTCTCTGAGTTGTGAAGCGCCTTGCTTTTTGCTGAGGCTGGCTTAGAACTCATGATCCTCCTGCCTCAGCCTCCAGAGCCACTGGACTTACAGGTGTGTACCACTGCACCCAGCTTGGTGATCATTTTTATTGGCATAATTATTTATCAGCTTGTGCCTTGTGGTGGTGCTAGTAAGATGGTGGCTGTTTATTTGTAGAAACGAGGTATAGGATTATTCTATCTCAGTACTTGTTCTCAAAATGGAGTAACTCATGGCAAACTTCTGCTTTATAAAATGGAGTAGCCCAGGGCTAGGCACGGCCTGAAGACTTCTGTCTATACCTCTCAGAGTAACTCAGAGCAGGCAGAGCTTTCTGCAGAGGCACACTGGAAGGCAGGAAGAAGAAGGGGCGTGTTGGTACATGCCTGCTGTTTCTTTCAGTGCATGCAGGAGCCCTAGTAATGACCCATCACCCTGGCAGAAGGAACTGGCTCCAGTCTCCAGCTTTTCATACACTCCCAGAGCCATCAGCATCAGCCATGCAGCTGTACCTTCTCAGAGGTCCCAGTTTTCCAGGGCCTCACCTCCAAGTTTTTAGATTCTGTAATCCCAAATCTATTCCCTGTGTTTCCTCAGACTTTGGGTGATACCCGTCTCCTGGAGCTACTATCTCTGTGAGCTGCTTTGTTCTCCCTTTCTGCTTTTTCCAGTTCTCCATCATGGGGATAGCCAATTCCTTTTATTAAATTCTCTCTGGTGAAATACCTAGTGAACCTTGTATTTTCCAGACTAGATTCTGACTGAGAAAGGGAGTAGGTCATGGGATCAATATTTGATATATAGACTTAAGAATCACAAAATAAATGGTTCTGTTGGTGCACAAACTGGCTCAAAATTTTCCTCTCCTCTAAATGTCTCACAAAGTGATCAGTAAATATGCCAAAGGAAACATCTCAAGGAAGAAGAAAGTGCAAATATTATTCTCAAATACTGTACGAATTACTTTTGGAGGGCTCTGATATATGTGTTGCTCTCAGAATAAGCTTTCTTTCTTTATTAAATTTTTTAAGTTTTATTTTTTTTTCCATACTGGGGATTGAACCCAGGAGCCCTTTACCACTGAACTACACCACAGCCCCCAGCTTTTTAAATGTAGAGGCAGGGTTTTGCCTTGAACTTGTGAATCTCCTGCCTCTCCTTCTTGAGTCACTGAGACTGTAGGTGTGTATCACTGGCCAGACTGAGTGGTTTAAACAACAGAAACTTATTTTCTAACAGTTCTGGAGGTTGGAAATCCAAAGTCAAGGTACTTGCAGGGTTGGTTTCTCCTGAGGCTTCTGTTCTTGACTTATAGATGGTCATTCTTTTTTCTGTGTCTTCACATGGTCTTCTCTCTGTGCTTGCCCATGTCCTAATCTCCTGTTATTATTAGGGCATCCGTCATGTTGGATTAGGCTTCATGCAACACCCCCATTTTAACTTACTTAAAAAAAATTTTTTTTAATTGTAGATGACACAACAATTTTATTTTATTTTTTTATGTGGTGCTGAGGATCGAACCCAGTGCCCCACACATACTAGGCGAGCGCTCTACCACTGAGCCACAACCCCGGCCCCTTAACTTACTTTTTAAAAGACTCTATCTCTCTGGGTGTGGTGGTACACACCTGTAATCCCAGTGAACCAAGAGGCTGAAGCAGGAGGATCACAAATTCAAGGCCAGCCACAGCAAATTAGTGAGGTGAGGCCCTAGCAATTTAGCGAGACCCTGTCTCAGAATAAAAAATAGCTGGGGACCCTGTCTCTAAATACAGTCACATTCTGAGGTGCCAGAGTGTAGGACTTCAGATAAGATTTTGTTTTGGGAGAGGACACAATTCAGCCTCTAACACCTGCCCTCAGTCAGCTGTTTGAACAGCAGCAGTCAGGGGCTCCTAAGCTCATCCTGCCTCATTTTCCAATTAAAAAAAATTTTTTTTTAATTCTTATTTGGGTATTTGCCTTCACATCTTTAAATGATATAAATTCCTCTTCTTGATTTTTTTCTGGTGTATTTTTCAACTCTTGGTTAAGCTGGGAGAGATGGCACATGCCTGTAATCCCAGAGACTTCAGGAGGATTACACATTCCAGACCAACCTCAGCAATGTAGAGAGACCTGGTCTCAAAATAAAATAAAAAGAACTGGGGATGCAACTCAGTGATAGAGGGCCTCTGGGTTCCATATTTAATTCCACAAAATAAATTAGTTAATTAAATAATAATAATAATAATAAAAGAGCAAGAGGTAGCTTGTGGTAGAGTGGTAGAGTGCCCTGGGTCATCAATCCCCGGACAGAGGGAGGGGGTGGAGGAGGCAAGGATCACATTCCCTTGCTTATAAACTTCCACTGGCTTCCTAACAAATTCCACCTCCCTGACCGCGGCCTCCAGCACCATACCTGATCTTGGCCTTCTGACTCTATCTCCCTCCCCTGCCCACTGCACCCACGAGGCTTCACCATGGTCCAGCCACAGTGGACCTCTTCCAGTCCCCTGAGCACCCTGAACTGGCTCCTGCCTTGTTGGCACTTGCTTTTCCTTGAACCTAGAATTCTTTTTCCCACGTTTTCACCTGGCTTCCTTTTTCTCATCTCTCAGCGCTCAGCTCAAAAGTCATCTCTGAGTTGCCTTTCCTGACCTCCCCGAGGGAAGCCTTGGGGGCCCTCCCAGTTTTAAAAATTATTTTATGGATTCATCTGTTTTGGAATTTCCCGTGCCCAACATGTGCACACTGCCTGGGACACAGGAGAGGCTTAACAAGAGAAGCAGGTGGATAAGAGCCCACTCGGGCTCCAGAGGACTCCCCGGGATCCGACCAGGTTCTGGTTTGCTGGAGGTGGGTCTCCTCCCTCCTTACTTCCAACCTGGCGGGAGAGAAGGGAGAGAAGTTCTTGCTAGCCCACCCACTCCTCCCTCTTTCTCCTTCCCGTAGCTAAGTCGTTTCCCGGTATCCTTCCTCTCTCTGGCCCCTGCCACCGCGCCCTCTCTACCTCTGCGTGTCCAGCTGGCCGCCCACTCCTCTACCCTCCCCGCTCCGCCCCTCCCCTCCCGCCGTGTCGCGCGCCCGCCCCCGATGTCCCCTAGCCGGCAGCGCCCTCGGAGCTGGCACAGGAGCAGATCAGGAGAACAGCTGCGCAGGGAGGATGGCTTTCGTGGCGCTGCGCTTGGTACTGTTGCTCCTGGCGGGGGACTTCGCAGGTAATGAGGACCATCGAAAAGCGATGGAGAGAGAATCCGCCCGTGGCTGCTCCCTTCCCAAGTCTAGGTGGCGTTAGCGGTGTCCCCAGCACCCGTTACTGACGGTTCCAGCAGGGGTCGAGGAATGCCAACTGGGGCTTGTGGGGTGGCTTTGTAGAGCCATCGACCCTCTGTTCCTTGTTGTTTGGGCTTCGCTCCCAGCTGCTTTTAAGTGACACAGGCCCTCTGCCCTTTCTCTCTTTAAGTAGATCTGTTGCTGTCCAAGATCAGGCTTTGGGGTTTCTGTACCCGGGATCCTGCTGAACGTCCCCCGAGATGAGCGGCCCCGGGAACGCCTTGAGAAAGGGGCTTTCACCTGCCCAGACGCGGCACATGGAGTTAAAGTGCTCATCTCTAACATTAAATTTTGTGTTTATTACGCCAACCCACAGAGGAAAAGACGATCGCCTACTGTTCTGACTTTTGTAACTTCAAAGAACTTTTCCAACCAAACCTAATAGGAACAGAACAAAATGTTCGTTCCATGTGCCCGTTATAAGTGCCAAGGGCTGAAAATTGTCTTTTTTCTTTAGAGGGTATGGAGCAGGGTGGTTCCAAGATGCCTTAGACATCAGAGGCAGTGGAAGAAAGTGTGGATAATCACAAGATGGGTAAAACAAGATCAAAAAAACCTTTATGAACTTTAATCATACATGGTAAATTATGTTTTCTTCTTGCAGCCTCTTCGGATGCTGACCCTTCAGAGTATAAGACAGTAAGTACACATTGTTTCCGCTTGCACAGGGAAACCCTCAAAGCCACTTTCAGAAACTTGAAAAAAAAAAAAACTTTTTTTTTTTTTTTTTTTGTGGTGCTGGGGATTGAACCCCCAGGGTCTTGTCCATTTGAGGCAAGCAGCAAGCACTCTACCAACTGAGCTTATTCCCCACTCCCCTTCCCCTTCCCCTCTCCTCCTCCTCCTCTTCTTCTATAATGGTGATCTACCCCCTTTTTTTTGTAATGGGGTGCTTTATCACTGAGCTACATCCTGAGCCCTTTTTTATTTTTTATTTTGGGAGGAGGCCTCACTAAGTGGCCCAGTCTAGGCTCGAATTTGGAATTTTCCTGCTCCAGCCTCCTAAGTTGCTGGGATTGCAGTTGTGCACCACTGTGCCCAGCTACATTTTGTGTACTTTATCAAATTAAATTCTGTGAATGTAAATGATGACCAAATGAGAACAAGCCGAGGCTGTCCAGAGCTTGCTATAATAGTTGGCCTAGAGAAGCTTTGGTGTGGAGCAACAGGGAGCAGGGGGCATCCTATGGGATTGGCTAGGGGTGCACATCATGTTTTCCGTTGTTGGTCCTGAGTTGGAATTGAGGATCAACGTTAGGGAAACTGTCAGTTATTAATCAAGTCCTGGCTATTTGGGCTGCTTGTTAAAGGGCTTATTGTTTGGTTTCTGGATTGTCACTAGAGGTAGCAGTCTGACTTACTACCTGAGTTAAGCAGGCTGGCCCCCTAAGGATAGTTTGTTAACAGCAAAACTCACACAACCACCTTATACTTAAGCTATTTGCAAACAAATGCCTTTCTCCTTTCTCTCTAACCAATTCCTACAGCATATTGATCACTTACTAGTTGTAGACTATTCTGATGCCTGCCAGCAGACACTCCTTTTTTTTTTTTTTTGTACCAAGAATTGAACCCAAGGATTCTTAACTGAGTCATATGCTCAGCACTTTTTATTTTGAGACAAAATCTTGCGAAGTTGTTTGTGACCTTGCTAAATTGCTGAGGCTGGCTTTTGCCGCAGGCCAGCTGCAGCAAAGTAGCCGGGGGGTGACGAATAACTTCTGTAGATTGATGCAGCAGGAAT